GAGTAGGACTCCTCCTGCGCCCTCCTCCTGGCCGGCCGCCCCCTCCCCCTTGGCTCCTTTATATACGGGGGTAGGGGGGCACCTCTAGACACACACGTTGATGATTGAGATCGTTCCTTAGCCGTGTGCGGTGCCCCCTGCCACCATATTCCACCTCGATCATATCGTTGTAGTGCTTAGGCGAAGCCCTGCGTCGGTAGAACATCAAGATCGTCACCACGCCGTCGTGCTGACGGAGCTCCCCCCCGAAGCTTTGCTGGATCGGAGCCCGGGGATCGTCATCGAGCTGTACGTGTGCTAAGAACTCGGAGGTGTCGGAGTAACGGTGCTTGGATCGGTCGGATCGGGAAGACGTACGACTACTTCCTCTACGTTGCGTCATCGCTTCCGCAGTCGGTCTGCGTGGGTACGTAGACAACACTCTCCCCTCTTGTTGCTATGCATCACCATGATCTTGAGTGTGCGTAGGAATTTTTTTGAAATTACTACGAAACCCACCACCGAGGCCACCTGCCCCGGACCCCCTCCCGAAGATAAAACCTCCACCACCGAAACCTCGTCCACCGCGAGAGGATAAGAGGGCGCCGAGGCCACCTGCTCCGAGCCCCCTTCATAAAGCGAAACCGCCACCTGCAGCTCCGGCATCGCGACAGAAGAAGAGGGAACCGAGACCACCAGCCTAGGACCCCCTCCCGCGGGAAAGACCTCCACCGCCGGACCCTCGATCTGAGGAGAATCAACGAGTAGTACATGAGAGGGAGCCACCTCCTCCTCTCCCCTGACCAAGATCGGCAAAGCCCCAGGGTCGGGACTCACAGCATCCTCAAAATCCAAAGCCGGTAACGTGTGCTCAAAAACCTCGTCAGACTCCACCCGCTCACTCCAAAGTCTCGAAGGCGCAGAAGCCCGATCGAAAGATCCAAATCTCAGAGAAGTCGTAGGCACCGAGGAGGGTGGCACCGTCCCATCCCCGGACGTCTGAGAAACGGATCCCGGTCCATTGGACAACTCTCGTCCAGTGTCATCAACCGGTGCCTCCTTAGCTCCTGAGTTGTCATCTCCCTCGTGCATATCAACATCAGTCCCATTAGCCGCCTCGGCGAACAGACTCTCATCCTCAAACTCAATCACGAGGTTATAAATCTGGCCTCGATATGTCCACTTGACCACATCAGGCACGAACTCAATCTCCAGAACACTGACTAGCAGTCGGGCAATCCCGTGAGCTCTGGTATAAGCCATATCCACTCTCTCAGTCTTCCCCACCATAATGCCCAAGCTAGCCAAAACCCTGGCATCTTGCATCGGCTTCGAGGAGCCCCAGAAAAACGCAGCCAAACCTGAGTAAGCGGCTTACCCTGAGGTTCGACCATCTTCCACTCATGAAACTCGAGGACACCATTAGTACCCGACACTTTGCACATCCCAAAACTCAAAAGTCTCTGCAAATCCTCGACTGAAAGGAACTCAACCCTAAACATATTTGCCTCGAGACTAACAAGCTCCCACTGGAAGTCACTAGGAGCTAACTCCTTCAGCCTCTGCACAATCTGAGTCTCAGAGACCTCTCCTATGGTAACTTTGACAACCCCAGTGGTCATACTCTGGGTCTCATCAGGGATCTCCATCGCATCAGGAGACTCAAAGAACGTGAGCTCAGCACAACACACTCCATACATCATAAGAGACGGCGCCTGATCACGCAAAATCGGACAAACCCCTGAATCATGTGCCGGCTAGCCACAGGTGTCACATAGGTCAGCCACACACTCAGCAATAAAATAACCCTTCTCTCCACACTGATAGCACAACATTTTCTCCTTCTTGCGCGCCCACTTGGACGCCTTGTCCGAGTCAGCCCTGTCTGTCGCCTCCACTGACGCTGACACCGTGGTCTCACTCCCGGGTATCTCAGCATTAGCGAGCGCCGACACCACATCCATAGCCTGACCAGACAGCACCGGCTCCTTGGCAGCCCCAGTGGCGGTAGTCGCCCCGACGACCACAGGCGGAGCAGGCTGCCGTTAACGAAACCGGCCACCTCGACCACCACGATGACCGCGGTAGCCTCCCCGCTGCCGATAGCCCGGGCCAGACGCCCCCTCAACAAAACCACCCGAAGGACCGAGAAATGGTCTCTCCGCCATCCCGTCACCCTGCCATGCATATCCTCGGCCACTGCCAGTCGACAAAGAACCTCGGTGCTGGCCATCTCCATAGGCATTGTACCCATCATCTCCCCATTGACCCCGGGGCGTTCCCGAAACACCTCCAGCACCCATGTTTTGCGGTGGCAGCGCCTGCGTCTGCATCGGCCCAGACCGATTCTGAGTCAGCCTCGCGACGTAGTGCGACGGAAGCGCCGGCCGAGGCTGACCAGGTGTCACACCCTGATTCCCCGGCGCCGGCGGCCTGGGTGCGATCGCACCACCCCGGCCCGCTGCAGTCACCCCAGTCAGAGCCGGCGTCGGCGGGCGAGGACCACCAGTCGTCCAGCCTCGACCAGCGGCAGGCAGCCCCGCCAAGCCTAGCGACGGCGGCCGAACCCATGGAAGGGCACCGCCACCACGTCCTGCAGCCACACTCGCCATCCCAGGGCCGACCGCAGTACCCCGGCCAGCTGCAGCCGCCAGCGGCGGCATACCTCGAACGGACCCAGAGACCGGTGGCGGCAGCGCACCACGGCCAGAACCAACACCCGGCGGCGGTGCGCCACGACCATTGACACCGCCCGGCGGCGGCGCACCCCCGACTCGGCCTGCCCCGGTATGCACGGCGGTGTTCTTTCCCGGCTGCAGACCAGCCCCGCGGCCCGCCATGGCCACCAGGGGAGGAATCCGTCTAGCGCGTCCAGGACCCGAAGAATGCAGCTGAGGCGCCCGATGCGAAAAAACCCTAGGACTCGGAGTAGACGAACGCGATGTAGATGGCGCTTGGATGCATGCGATGTCAGTTTCGCTATCGATAGGACCCGGACTCACTTGGGCCTCATACCCAATAGTCCCTGGCCCAATGACCTCGAGCGAAAAAACGTCCAAACCCAGCCCACTACGGCCCTTTAGTTCTAGTACCGCAACTGATGTAGCTACATCTGACTTCAGTAATCTGTGGACAATATTATTATCAAGGCTGTTATTGGTCATTAGATCCATTATTAGCTGTTAAAGGGGGGTATTCTATTCTGGCATTTTCGATATGGAAATACTCTGTTTCTAGTTAATTGCAACAAAGTTGACTCTTTATGAACGAACCGCAACAGAGTTTTTCTCCTGATAAAACTAGCATTAATTTTGTTTATGGCCTGAATTATGAGTTGGCTGATTTGAGGGTAGTACAACTAAGCAGTGTTGTTGTTGGTTCTGAAACCCATTATTATCATGCTCCATTTTCAGGTGTGCCGAGCCAGCTGCCGAAGGCATATTCACGAACTTCTCACTCCTACTGACAGAGGACCCAGTGGAGGAACCCGATGTGATGGACCTCGGCACCGTGTACGAGGAAGACAGGACCAAGTTCCCTTCGATAACTGGCAGCGAGGACGAGAACGATGAAGACATAGACTGGGATGACCGCATGCATTTCCCTGCCGGGGAGAAGGAGATCGACATCTCGAAGAACCTCCGGCACATCATCCACCTGGAGATCACGCTGGATGCCTTCTGCAGCAGCACCTGCAAAGGCTTGTGCCTCGTCTGTTGGTCACAGGTCCCTCGATCTCTCTTCTCTATGTGGTTACACACGCACCCGAAGTGTTTGTTGAAACTAAAGGAGAAGCAGAGCAAGGAGGAAAAACAGAGGAGGCACGCACGAGTTGTGGTTCCAGGCAACAAATGCCCTTGTTTTTTTTCTTTTTCAGCAACGAATGCTCGGTGTGCTGCTTGCGACCAATGCAAGGTTCAGCTTATTACATAGCAGAGACCCACTCCACTCCTCCTACCAACTCTGCAGCACATCAACTCACAATGTACTGCTCCTGATCTAAGCATGGACAGCCATGACACACAGTGGCATGTCCTCTCACACAATGCACGACATGTGCATGTACCTTTACATCAGGCTCACATGGCAGGAGTCAAACATGCATCAACACATGAGCATGATCAACAATTAATTAAATCATACATTGACTAGATTAACTTCTAACATCGTCTGTGGCGCGAACCTCAACACGAGCAGCTGCAGCTGCAGCACCGATGAGTCGTTGCAAGCCAAGGACGCCAGGCGGCCGGGAACTCTCAAAGATCTGCTGAAGCCTATGCAGAGAAGATGATGATGAGTCAAACAGTGCATATGCAGGTATCTTGTAACCTACTTATGCGATAGTCTCTATGATTCTCATGACCTCATGGGCAAGATATGCAGCCCGGTGAAAATGCAAATATTTGATGGCAGCGATAGCGGGGAACTAGACTGCCGATATTTGAGTCGCATCTCATGCTTCGCTCGCTGCACTGATGATGCAAATCTTTCTGGCCTTTCCTCCGAAGTTCATGATTATCATTTGTATTGCCTCATCTTACGGTCCAAAAGTAGAAGCCTGCAACGCAATGCTAGGATATTATGTTGTGCCGCAAAACTTTAAATGATATGTGGGTGAATTTGCGCGACACATGTGCTTTGTCTCCTGGGGGGATCAAATTAACTGTATGTACATTTATCACTGGTTAACTCCCTGGGAAGGTTAGATTAAATTGCTGTAACACAAGGCAGAATTCTTCATGTTAGTTAGCAAGTGTTATGTTTTTGCTGGAACAGTAGCATCTTTCAGGTTTTACTTCTTGCAAGCCAGCAGGTAACAAACCAAAGTAGGTCAACACAAAACTTACTTATAGTTGAACAAAGACAAATGAAAAAAGAGACGGTCATACGGAGAATCAGTTCACCAGTCACAACATATAGTAATTAAGTAGACTGAATAAACTAGCAGACTAGATCAACTCTCAAACAAGGCTAAACAGACATAGAAGAACCTCCGTTCCAGTGCTTGCCCGAGCTGATCACTACACAGGAACACAAAGAACACTCATCCATGCCCTCTCCTCTGCGAGTTTCGCGAGGGCGCGCCGCTCATTCCACAAGCTCGAAACAAGGGACCATGCAACAGCAACCTCCACCTTGCAGAAGCCAAGATCGCAGGTGCCATTGCTCGTGCCGGCCCTCTCCGGCGCGAACACGGCCTCACCTCGCGCAACAACGACGGCAGAGCCACCACCATCATCGCCGTCTTCTTTGCCAGCGATCTGAGGGGACGCCACCACGGAGACAACCAGCTTCCCCCCCTCGAGGTCCACCGACACGACGTGCCTCCAGAGCTCGACCGCGCCGGTCGAAGGGCTGATCGGCATCTTCCCGTCCCGGGAGTCGAGCAGCAGCACCTCTCCTTCCCTCACAGTTGTGACCTCGGCGACGACGCGCCCCCGGAGACCCTCTGGCCACACACCGTCGATGATCCGGACACCGATGATGGTCGCCTCGACCGAGGGGTCCAGCGGCGCGTAGGCAAGCTCGATCGTGCACCGGTCACAGAGGATACCAGAGCGGATCACATGTGTGGCAAGGTAGGTCTGGGGGTAGTTGAAGATCCCGAAGGCCAGCATCTCGTCCTCTTCGGGGTCTGTCTTGCTCTTCACCTTTAGCTGGAACTCAATCGTGATCGGGTCGATGATCACGATCACGCGCGACGGGCCTGTCAGCAGTAGGTATGGATCCTGCAACGCAAGCAACACATGTCAACAAAATGGCTGGCAGACTATCATGTAACGAAGACGAGAACTATGGTGAATATATCAAATTCATGCTCCAACTCGATGAAGATGAAGAATCAGAGGAAATATATTTTAACATAAAACAACAGACAACAAATGATGCACGGTGCTTCCCTGTTGGGTGAGGACCTGGCAGTTATCCCTGGTGCGGCTGAAGAGGAAGTTGCGATTGTGATCCGAGGTGTCCCTGGCGGCGACCAGGCCGTGGACATGCAGCGGCCACCGGAGGCCGTCTTCCAGGTCAGCCACCCGAACGCTGAAGATCTGCATAGTACAATGAGGTCTCGCGTAGCTTGGGATGGGTCCGAATGTAAAGCGCATGGGACCAAGACTTGCTGCATGGCAGGAAGCAAAGTTAAACTATGTGTCACGGGAACGAATAGAGCTTGTTGTTATCAGCAAACAAGACACATCCATGCTAAATAAAGCTGGTTAGATAGAGTGTCTGATCTCTTTTTCTACATTAACAAGAACATTGGACACAGTTAATGACATGTTCTTTGGAGGACTAACCCCTGAAATGACTGATCGTAATTAATCTATGGATGAGGTGCATTTGTGCCATCAGTAGAGCAAGCTCCCATGAACGAATGAATTTGCAGGTGAATGGATGAAAAATAGGTAGTGATGCGAGCGAAACAGGGGTGCTAGAGGTGATTACTCTGATCGTCGAAGGAGCCGAATTTGCCGGCGAAGCGGCTCTCCCACAGCCCGCGGAACCTGCCGATCCGATCTTCCTCCCTGTAAACCTCCTCCTCTTCCTCCTCCTCTTCCTCCTGCGTCGTCGTCTCCGGCGGTGGCGGCAGCGGACATGAACATGGAGGAGGTGTGCTGTTAATAT